CATCAGCTCCGTTGCAATCAATACGCCAGTGATTGCGACGGTCACCACATGCGGTGGCATCAATCAGTGTCAAGTACCACAGCTGTCGCAGAAACGGCGTTCCCTTGCAGCGCAACAGACCCCCCCACTCACCCAACAGCCCGTGCGTGTGCCCTCCCTCCCCACCACCACCGCCCGCCACCATGAGCGCCGTCAGGGTCACCAACCCGGCCCACCTGGCCGCCCTGCTTCAGCTGGGAGCCGTATGGCACGCCAGCCTCCCCCTGCGCGTCACAATACAGCGCACCAGCCCCCCCAACGCCCCTGAATCCGTGGACATCACCTTCTCGGAGCTCAAGCGGCGCTGCTACGAAGCCCTGCCGCCCTATTCCGCTGATGGGCAGTGGGCCGAGGAGCTGTACTACTCAACAGACCCCGCCGCTCAACTGTGGGTGGGATTTTTTCACATGATCGAGGAGCGCGAGGAGAGGCGCATACTGGGCCCAGACTACGGCGCAGAGCCCACCCTGTTGGGCAAGATGCGCGCCATGATGCGGCAGTTCTTGGCAGGGCGGCCGGTGTGGATTTACCTGTCGGATCTTGGCATGGCCGACGAGTTTGGGTGCAGCGGCGCGCCGGTCAACCTGCTGGCGGCGGCCACGGAGGAGCTGCGCGCCATGGCGAACGGCCGAGACGCGCAGCTGGCTGCAGGGGGCAACGGGGAGGGGGGGGCAATCTTCGTGGACCTGCCGACGGGGAGAGCTACGGTGGTCTCTACAGACCGGGGTTTCGACCGCGTGGATTTTCCCGATGATGACGCAGAAGAAGGGGATGAGGGTGTTGTGTTGGCACAGGGGGTGGCCGACATGCAGCAGCTGGTGTTCGTTGCCCGCACGGGGGCGACGCTGGACGGGATGGTGCCAACAGGGTCCCGCGCACCGGCGTCAATGCGCGGGGTGTACGCATGGGAGGTGACCGTCAGCCAGCTAGAGGCATCGGCGAGCATCGGCGAGTCCGCCGCTGTGGAAAGGTACATGCGAATCGCAAGGGCGGCCATTGGCGCCGCCGCCCAGAGAGCCAAGTCGCGCCTGGCCGAGATTGGCGTGGAGGAGAGGGACATTGTGAGATTCACGGCGGAGCACGTCGGTGTGGATCGAGCGGCGATGTTCGCGGCGGTTGAGGGCGATGGGGGCGCCCAGCGCGGTGTGAGCCACATCAGCTACTCGGCGTTCGAGGGGGAGGGGGTGGAGGGGGACTCAGTGTCCGTGGCGGCCACGGTGGAGGTTTTGAGGGACGCCGGGGTGTTGGGCTTCAGGGACAACGTTTTGGTGGGCGGGAGGGGGGGGAGGAGGCTGGTGGTGGGCGACGGGGAACGGGGATATGTGACAGTGGAAGACAGGGAAGGGGCTGTGGTGGAGGGGAGGCTGCCTGGGGGGGCTGTCGTGCGGTGAAAGTGTGACCGGGGATCTGGTTTGGGCCGATTGGAAGAGTGGCGCTGGGCTCACCTGCCTTGATATGTAAGATTGCTTGGTGATGATGACTGTTGGAGAGGAAGCTGCTTGATGTGGCGGGTTTTGGTGTGTGTGGCGGTGGTCGGTTGGGAGTGCGGGGCAGCGGATGGCTTGGACGTGGCATGGGCTGGTCTGGAAGTGGTGGACGAACAAATGATAGGAAGTAATAACATTGATGTAGGACTTGGGCTAGCAATGCAGTCGGCAGCGGTTTGGACACTTGCAAGACCATGTGGACACCCCTCAATCGGGGGAAAGTGTCAAATTGAGTGGCAGCAAGGAAGGGTACAGCACGTGCTTAATTATGATGTGTACCCTCAGAAACAATTGGTGCACTACATAGCATGATAGTGTTTTGAATCTGTGCATTATTCAGAAGTTTTGCCATGCAAATGCTGCTGGTATGTTCTATGGGAACGAACATCCCATTGGAGCCACCTGACGTCCAATAGGAGAGAAACACAAAACAAATGGAGAAACGCAAATAGAATTTACGCTGTGCCAAGCGTCGGATTGAATACACACCAATATTGTCAGTCACATGGATGGAGAAACCCTTCGATTCGATTTTCCCCATGGAAGATGTGGCCATATTTTCCTCCAAAAGCAGCGCCAAACTCAGCATAAGAATTTAATTCAATGGCATGCAAAGTTGGACTGATGTGGTAGTTCTCGATTGAGGTCTCGGAACCTAACGGGCCCGACGGGGTGACTCCCGCCCTCTTAAGTCAGTCTTAATTGGGACAAGTTCCTAGAGCCAGAGAGTCCTCTCCGAGGCGAATCATTCACTTTGACAGACTTAGCAAAGGCACTATTTTGGAACATTCATACATCCCACAAGCACAGCTGGCCAAGAAATAGCCACATCAGAAATATTTTAGTTCAGCACTGCATAGAGTATTTGTGTCTGTTTAAGTTTACATTTTACGAATTTACCCTTTTATTTTAGATTTTATGTTTTCGTGGTTAACTGTGCGCATTTAGTCTTGATAATTTGTGTCTGCGGTATATATCGTCAATTTACTCAAAATCGCGTTTGTTTATGGGCAACTGTGAACAGGAACGTATTCTGTCGATTTCATTATTGGTTCCACTATCACAGCTTCGTTAGGAAATAGTAATATTTGCAACCTGTTGGCGCAATGGTATGCATCACTGTCGCCAATGGCCATGTCTCACCAGGCAACGGCCAAGCCTCAGCACAGCAATACTCATTGAACGTTGCGTGGCAATCCAAATGACTTCCCCGGCACTAGATCCATGCTCGCTATTTAAGGCATGAACACAGCGTGCACTCGTGTATTACGCGTAAAAATAGTACTCTCGTTCTTGCGAGTTAAAACACGTAAAAGTACGTAAAATGCGAGCTCTAATACAGAAAGTCCGGGGGATTGCAACCACACGCGCTCGAGTGGTCAGAAAACAACCTACTGTTCAAAGGCATCGTCTCCCTTGCCGAGGTCCAGGTGGACACTGTGATGAGGTTGCTCGAGGGGCGGAGGACTGATCATTGTTTTCCGACTATATCATGTAGACTGGGCGTCTCAACGCACAGTGAAAGTGCGAGTATACCTGTGCAAATAGCCGTTCCTGTGTTTACACACGTTTATAAACGTGTGTAAACACAGGAACGGCTATTTGCACAGGTATTGCACCGTGTAATTACGTAATTATGTATACACGGTAAAAATAAACGTAACGCGACAAGGTGCTGTGAACGTAAATAACGAGCCTGATTAGGTTGAGTGGACTGGTGGAACCGCTAGTGACGAAAAGAACTGTCGCGCCCAATACCTTCGCCACCAGAGCATGCGGCGAATTTACTGGGTGGGCGAGGTTTAGGCCGTTTAGGCGTATGTTGAGACAAGCGTATTGTTTGGCACCCCACCCAAGCTCCCACCCCGGTTTCGGAGCGGCAAACCAGCAACAACTTATAATACCCCTGTTTTCCCCCGGACATCTCAATTGCTTGAAAGCTACTGTAGCTTTCAAGCAGTGTAACACTGCAGGATTGCCCCTGTTTCAGCAGATCTGTTGGTGTCCGCAACTCTCAGGATAACGGGCAAACTTTCTATAACTTGCGTTGTGGAGGTGGTGGTCGGCTTGGCCTTCCCTAGGTGTCTCGGGATTGCAGATGGAATTGCGGTAGGAGTCACACAAATGGTGGCGCCGACGTGCAGCAGGCGTTACATGGACTTTAAGGTGGAGCATGCTCGCCCCATGAATAAGTGGCTTATGCACACGTGCATCTGCACACAATTTCTGGAAATCGGACGAGCAGTGCAGCGCCAAAACGCCCCCCAAGGCGAGAATCCTCATAGCGCTCGTTGTTCAAAAGCTACAGAGTTGATTATCATGTATGCTCTGTCTGTTTTGGACTGATGGGCCCAACAAGCCGAGGCCATCAAACATGTTGTGCACATGTTGATCAATGCCAAGCAAGTGCAGCACTATTGGAACAATTGGGCTATCAAATACCGCAGGTGCTCACTGGAACAATTGGAACAATTGGGTTATTAAGTAGTGCAGGTCTGCGTCTTTGCCGGGCGATTACAGACTAATGGAGAAGGAGAAGGAAGGATTATGTGCCCTAATTAAGGCGGCGACAAGGCAGCGCATTTGATGAAGGCAGAATCAAGGGGTCGCAGCCCCTGAGGGGACCTGTTGGCCGGAGTTGACGGCACCGGATGACAGCGGAGCGATGGGTATCTTGGGTTTCAGCCACAAATCAGTGTCGCATCCTAGATTAATGTCATGTCAAAAAATGCAGAAGCCCATCCCGAACCAACCGCATTCGATACCGACACCCCCCAGAGCCATAAAATTACTGGCTGCACCAAATCGGTGACTGCTTGCACCAAGTCACGTGTCCAACTCCGTCGAAACTGACCTAACCTAAAACGTAGACCCTAAACCCTAAAACTAGACCTGCCCTAAATCTAAAACTTACCCTAAAACTCACCCTAAAGCTAAACCTAACCCTAAAACTGAGGTTAGGACATGGTGTGCACGTGACTTGGTGCAAGCAGTCACCGATTTGGTGCACGCAGTAATATTATTTGCCCCTCAGACGCGTGGTGCCGCAGATGCGCGGATCTTGTCACTCATTACGCCATCGCTCCACCTGTCCCCCTCCAAGTCCAACCCTCAACCTGCTTCCTTCGTAACTGGGGCGCACCCATCTCCCCGCGCCACCCCTTCCCGCGGCTCCCTCCCGAAACCCCAAGCCGGCCCCCACACACCCCACTGCGCCCAGCCGGCGCCCATCGCCGCGGCCCCGGGCGCTCCAGAACGGTGCGGGCATGCTATCGGATGGATAGGCGCGCATCGACGACGTCCCTGTGCGCCCCCGCCAAAAATCACAGCCTCTCTCGGAGGTCGGCGCCCAAGGTGACAAGACCCAATTCGAAATCGCCGGATGCCGATAGAGCAATTTTGGCGGAAGACAAGGCGATGAGGCCAAGGGGCCCCGGTTGGGAGGCGGGTGGGGTGGATTCGAGGTCGATGGCGATGTCGATGGAGCCGTCGGGCGCGGGTCAGGCCGAGCAGGAGAGGCCGCCCAGGCGCCGTCGCCGCAAGTACGACCCTCGGAGGTACATTAAGACATCGCGGCGCAGGTCGGGAACCACGCCAAGGATTGGAAGTGCGCCGCCCAGTGGTTGGCTGTGGATCTGGATGGGCCACTTCCGGCGCTGGCACAAGCGGTTCTTCAGCCTGAAGACGCCTGGGACCATGAATTATGCCAAATCACCGGAGGCGGGGGGAGGGCGGAGGAGGACGATCACACTGCGGGACGCCAAGGTGCGCGTGGCGCGCGGCAACGCGCGGCAGTTTTGTATCATCACACGCGGAGGGGGAATAGTTTATCTCAGGGCTATGGCAAGGGGGGAGAGGGCCCACTGGCTGACGGCTGTCAGGAAATCCGTGGCGCAATTTGGGGAGATTTTGGACAAAGTGGCTGAATCGGGGGTGGGGGAGGGGGGTGGGGGCCATAGGAGGGAGTTTTCGGCGTCGCTGGACGTGGATCCCGAGCAGGCGAGGATCCAGAGGGAGCTGCGGGCGCGGCTGAGGGCAAGGATGGCCGGACTGGCGCCCCTGGAGGAGGCGGTCAGGAGGCGGGTGGGCCAGCTGGGCGGAGACATGGCGCCCAGGGGCCTGGAGAGTGGGTGGGAGGGGGCAAGGGGCCAGGGAATTGGGGCAGCGTCTGCTGGGAATGGGACGGATGAAGGAGTGCGACTTCGGAGCAATTTGAGCACGGAGAGGAAGGGACGAGAGGAAAGGGTTTGGGGGACTGGGGACCCCAAACGAGGGGAGAATAGGAGGAGTGGCGGCGATTTCGAGGGTGGAGAGGGGGGCTTGGGGAGAGGTGATCCGTTGGTGGAAACTGTGGCAGGGGGAGAGGAGGGGAATGTGCTGGCCGCGTTGGACTCGCTGATGGGCGCAGTGCAGCGCACGCTGGCGGACGAGCTGCTCAAGGTGCTGGAGCTGCAGGTGGAGAAGGGGGCATTGCAGAGGCGGCTGAGGCAGGCACAAGGGAGTGCAGGCTCCTTCCACTACAGGGCTGACTTCAGGGCGGGGGACAGGTCGCCGAGCTCAGGGGTCAGGGACGAGGCGGGTGCTACTGAGACAGACTCCAGCGATGACAGCATGGGAGGCAGGAGCAGGCTGACTTACTCATCTGGTTGCTATTCCACGGCAGGGTCTTGCTGGTCAGACAGCGACTCAGAGGATGTGACATGCTTTGCAGGGGAGTGCTGTGGTACAGTGGGGGTTGCGGGGAGCCCGTCGCCAGTGGGGTGCATGTCAGATGAGCTGATCAAGGCCCTGGAGGTTGTGAGGGGGGTGGAGTATGCGATGAAGGCGCAGCCATCAGTGCTGGTTTCAAGACGGCTGGGGAAGCCGCCAGATGAGGAAGAGGACCAAGAGGGTGATGACACTGAGGTCAGTCTGGCTGCAGGCCATTTGCACAGTGTTTGCACAGTGTTGGGCAACAGTGTTGGGCCCTTGCACCTTGCGAGCGATGATGGGCATATCCACATCCCCTGCCCCTTGTCCATTCGTTTTATTTGCTTGGCACATGCCTGAGAGGCAGACAGAGGAGACATGGCCTGCTCGTGCTTGTTGATGAACTCCACCAGGCCTTATTCAACAATCCTCACACCCCTATAGTCCATTACGTGTCTATTTCTGGGTCAAAATGACACATCCTACTCCTCGAGAGAACTGCAGTGGTGTATTCAAGGCCTTGCTCCAATCGGCATATGTTCATGAGATGAGATGAGGCGTAATCACTTCTGTTTCATGTTGCAGCAATTCTGTGGGGTGCTGTTTTCCATTTAGGACCATGGCTGCTGCCAGCTGGGTCCCTGTTTCTTGAAAACTTATGGGTGGAGTATGCGGACGCTAGTGCTGCTGTGTCATGTGTGGTAAGCACATGCCTGTCACTTCTCCCCTGGTTTCCCTCTGTCTCCAAGACAGTTATTCGAATCTTTCGCTGTAGTGGGATTAGTGACCTCAGACCATTTTACCCAGTGCAAACTTCCTGATTGTGATGGCAACATAAATCAAAGGATTTCACACACCTCTCACCCATTGTTCAGGTGGACGTTTCTCCACGGGGTTTATCTGGCCCACGACTGCGCCTCCCCGCACCCCGCCCCCTGTGCCGCGGCTTCTCCCTCTGGAGCATCCTCAAGAACGCAATCGGTGGTGACCTCACACGCATCACCATGCCCTCCACCATCAACGAGCCCCTCTCCGCATTGCAACGCCTTGCCGAAGACCTGGAGTACGATGCAATCCTCCAACGTGCCATGTCCTGCACCTCCAGCATCGATCGCCTGCTGCACGTCTCTGCATTTGCGGTGTCCAGCTACAGCTCCATGCTGCTGCGGGACAGCAAGCCTTTCAACCCACTGCTTGGCGAGACGTATGAGCTCCAACGCAATGGTTGGCGGTTCCTGGCAGAGCAGGTCAGTCACCACCCCCCAGTGTCCTGCTTTTGGGCCCAGGGGCCCGGCCCAGGCAGCAGGCAGGGGGATGGATTCGAGCTGCATGGTGAGCTCGAGCTTAGGAGCAAGTTCTGGGGCAAGAGCGTGGCAGTTACGCCTGCAGGGCGGCTGCAGCTGCGGCTGCAAGGCACTGGCGAGGACTTTGTCTGGGACAAGGCCACGGTGTCGATCAACAACATCATACTGGGCAAGCTGTGGCTTGATGTGCATGGTGACGTCACTGTGGAGAATCGCACAACGGGGGAGGTGGCCAGGATCCACATGCCGCGCTGCCGCGGATCACTGTCTGAGCGGGGCAAGGTGCAGGGATTCGTGTACGATGCACAGGGGGAGAAGGTGTACAGGATGTTTGGATCATTCATGGGGGCCCTGCAGGCTGAGCGAGTGGGCCTCAAGGAGGGCGACCCGACCTTTGGCCTGGAACCAATCGAGCTGTTCAAGAGGGCTGATCCTCCAGAGGACTCAGAAGAGCAGTACTACATGACCAGAATGGCGATCACGTTGAATGATCCTGGGGATGGTGTGCTCAGTCAGGTAGCTGGGACAGACTCCCGTCTGCGGCCAGATGTGCGGGCTCTGGAGAATGGCGATGCAGACCTGGCAACTTCTGAGAAGCTCCGGCTGGAGGAGAAGCAGAGGCGGACACGTAAGGCAAAGAAGGAGGCTGGAAAGGTCCATTCGCCGATGTGGTTCCAGAAGCGGGGCGGAGGCGAACCGGAGCTGGTTCGGGGGGTGGGTCACAAGGGACCAATGGTTTGGGCGTTTGGCGGAGAGTACTGGGGCCACAGGCAGACCTGCGAATGGCCAGAGCTGCAGGACATCTACTGAGAGGGGCGGGCAGTTTTGATATTGAGTTTGGGAATCAAATTCGGCCATACATCCATGTTGGATGAATGCAATCCTATTTGGTGTCCATTGGTAGTTTAGGATGTAGATGGGGACATGTTTCCTGGGCCGTTGTAGGTACCAGTTTAAAATTCTTTTTTATTGTGGGGGGGGGGGAGAGGCTCAGGGCATGTGGAGAGTGTTGGTGGTTGGGGAATAAGTTTTGGATTGGATGCAAAGGGCCATCCAACGATTGGGCTTAAATGCAGCAGATAGGTGGAAGAAGCAGCCCCTAGTGAGGCGTGCATCAAGACTGTACATTTCGAGGTTCTTGGTTCAGTTGGACAGGAGAGGGGCCCTGCATTGCCGGTGTGGGTGCGTGGCATGCAGCCCTGCTGGAATTGGTGTTTGCAGACTGTGGAGTGCCATGGAGCGAGCCTTGTGGCACTGGGCAAGTTTCTTCCACTGAACGAACGTGGGTCAATTGGTGCATTTGCTTTGCCATGCTGGCCAACCGTTGGAATTCGTCCTTGATGCCGCCGATCTGAGGTTACCGAAATTGTCGTCGTTTGCTGTGCCTCCGGCAGTGGCGTTCCAGAAATTTCTGCAGAACTGCCATTCGACATGTCGATTATCGATCCCTTCGCGAATGGACCTGCGTGTCCAGGGTCCTTCACAAGGCGTTCATCACCCTCTTCGGCGACTCAGCATTGCGATGTTCAACTGATATGCAAAACGCTCAACAGACAATAGGCAATTCGATAGACAGTGTACCCTGGTTCGCCAAATGTTCCCGGCCTGCCTGACAACAGCAGCCCGATAAACTGCCGTGGCTGGAATGCACGCAGCACCAGACAGAAAATCGTGTGCCTAGCATCTTGTTTTCATGCGACGAGATCTGCTATGCACTTTCCCTGGCTTCGCGTCGTGGAGCAGTTATTATAACTATATATGTAACTTATATAACTTATTATAACTATATTATATATGCACGGTCACTGGAAAATGTTGCACCGAATACGGACTGAGCCGACGCATGCAATCCGTGCAGCTGGAATAGCTTATACTGATCTGTATGGCCTATCATACTTCTTGTTACAACGGGGTGTCGCAAGGAGGCTCGCTTGTCTGAACTGAATAGGGACAAATAGTCCTATGATTCAAGTTCCCAGCTCATTCTTGTTGAAAGAGAGTATGTTCCGAACACCACCGAGATGCTCGGCAGAGCAAGAATCCCGGGGACGGACACGCACAGCTGGCTTGAGGGACGACGACGTTGTCTGGTCATCCGCAGGTCGGCTGCACGTGGCCAACGCAATGCGGGCAGCCCCAATGTGGGTGTTCACGTGGTCCGCACTGCAGTGCCCAACTGCTGCCACGAAAACTTAGGAGGCATGCCACAAACGGTATTTTCGCAAAATCGGCTGCAATTCTGTTGTCCGATGGCGGGCACTGTAAGCTGCCCAGATTCTGTCCACCTGATCCTTGCTCTAACAATAAACAATAGCAGTAGTAACAATGATGACTATATCAATAATAATAATAACAATGATGATAGCAATCACGTCAATCGGAACAATCAAAAGCATAACATTTTCATAATAACCATAGTGATAACGACCGATACCATGCTAGTGGAGAGAAGTCCAAAACGACTACATCGTTAACGGGTCTCATTGCTAAAACAAGCATGATCAAGAAGCACCTCGCTATGCTGTCAGTAGCGAAAGGGCGATGTTGGATAGTCTCTTCCCCCTAACCACGCACAACACAAGCGCCAGTAAACTGCATGAAAAGGGCATCCACCAAGAATGTAATGGGACTCGAAAGCCAGCAAAGCTCTTCGATTTATGCAAAGACGAGCATGCAGTCGCTTCACCCAATCAGTCAGATCATGCCAAAATATTTCTCAGCTCCTCCTTCGTGCCTGCTTTGTCACAGCCTCCCTCTGGACACTGAAGGGCATCTTCATTACCCTCGGCTGCTTCACAGTCGCAAATTAAGTCTTCAGCACTATTTCCGAAATCGTCACGAGCTGAACGATCCGCACCCTCGTCTAGGAGGAGCTTGAGAACTCCAACGTTCCCAAATGTGGCAGCATAGATCATGGGAGTGTCCCCATCGCTGTCCCCCGCTTCCAGATCAGCTCCAGCATCAATCAGCGCCTTTGCGATACCTTCGCTGGAGGATCCCAATGTGAGACAAGCAAGGTGAAGGGGCGTTTGCTGAAATATTGTAGTGCGGTTCACTGCAGCCCCCGCTTCCAACAGAAACAACACGATAACAAGGTGTCCCAACTGAGATGCAGCATGCAAAGGCGTAGAACCGGTGTCACGCCGTTTGTCCACCTTGGCACCTTCAGCCACTAAAACCCTCGCCACATCCAGATGTCCCTTCCTGGAAGAAAGATATAGCGCCGTGCGGCGAAACCTGTCCGTGGCGTCCACTTCTGCACCCTCCATCAGCAACACTTCTACGACATCCAGGTTTCCGTTGTATGCTGCAATGGTCAGCGGCGTGTCATCATCCCTTCCCCTCTTAACTTCTATGTTGGCTCCATCCTCAAGAGCTTGCATAACCTCCGCAAGGTCACCATTTTTCGAGGCTTTCCACAGTGCCTGAGTCACGGTGATTACTCACAGTTAACATCTTGCAAAGCGCTCACTCACCATTTCCCGTGAAGCTGTCCAGACTGCTGCAAAATTCCGTTCCCACAAGGAATGTGGTTCGTAATCCATGTTTCACGCAGGTTTGATGAGCGGCCATCAGCAATGCAACGCAAGCGGTGCAGATTGATTTTGCTCCATAACAGTCTGACGCCGTTCTCCCGGCTGTCCTCAAATTCTTGTAAAGTACTATGAATCAGTAGCAGGCTTGGTTTCTGAGAGTATTAGATTTCAATTTGCATTAATACGAATTTAGGAATTCATGCTTGACTGTGCATGACATGTGAAGAGTCTTTCCCTTCAGACTCACCGAATGGGACAGCTGGTGCCTATGTGTCTCCTGACTCATCTTACAGCGTTGTCGCTCAGGGCCTATTTCGACCGCGAAGCACATTGAAGCTACTTAAGGCACGCAATCAGCCTGCTGCTACAACAATCCCATTGCGAACGGTCGTGACAGGTGATGAAGCTGCCACCTCGTTGGTATCAACAGTCCTGGTAAGGCGGCATTTGGCAGCATGGTCCTCCGCCCCTCCATCGAGGAGTTTGCGTGCACACATGGGATCCACATAAACAAGCAGGAGTGCAAAATCGCCTCACAGTGCACGGTATCTTCGTTACGATGGTAAGGCACTGGGGTGCGTCAAGCTGCTGCCCCCAAATGCAGAACGCATTGCTGTGAACTAAGCCGCGCCGAGGACCAAGCGCATCAGTAGATTCCACGAAATTCCACTAATTAATTTTCATCTACACATAACAATAAGAATTGCATCTTACACTAGGAAAAAAGGGTCAAATAATACGTGTTCAAACGTGTACAAAGTTTACGGGTTTTTGTTATTTTCGTGTTTTTAGCGTTCAGAACACTGATGAAATGCATACATATGTGTTGGCAGAAAATGTTATTTGGTCCTTTTTTGCTAGTGTTAGTCATGGCGATGGTGACAAACCCCGAACAAGCGCTGCTATATGATGTTTGTTCATACAAATGCATGTGCATCAGCGAATCCGCATTGCCAGAAGGACTGCAGGGGGTGGAGAGCGAGCAAGCATTGAGCAAGTTCGTCGCTTTCTATGAAGGCGAGTTCAATTGCGGGGAGTGTTTGAGGAATGGGGGAGCTGATGTTGCCAATGCACAATCAGCACAAATGCGCATTACATGGGCTAAGTATGGGCGCTTGGCTATTTGCACGCAGTTTTGAGTGAAGACGCAGGCATAAATACGTAATATTGTCGTATGGAATCCAATCCGAGGTCAATCATGCACGGAAAAGGGAGCAAATAAGAGTCTGTTTCAATCCGCATTGAATGCCACAGATATGCCTAGAAGCCACGTTAGCACACGAACAACTGAAAATATATTTTATGGGTAACAGCATGAAAAAGGCAATCACGCTTATTCTAAAAGCAGCAAAATTGCCATGATTTTAGAGCTAAAGCATAAGCATTGCCGAAACATTATCGCCATTTGATTCCTGTCGTCACAAAATGTATGATGTGAGCAACGGTTTGGATTGTGGGCATCTACGGCACATTCAAAATAAGATAAGCAATGTTAAGGAAGGTTACGTCACAATATGCGCACGAGCACACCTTATCGAGCTTCTTTTGCTCTTTTGGCGGCAGGGGGGCAGGCTACAAAAACACAAAAATTGTTGAGCGTTTCACCAAAAATGGTTAATTGAATGCAAAATTTTCCGATAACTCGAAATTCTTTCATGATCTAGATCCCAAGCACAACTGTACTATCATTCAAGGTGGGTTTTGCGTCAGGGAACACAGCATTACTTGCTGCGCTGTGTATCATAGAGATAGATCTCATCAAAGATATATTTGGTCACATGGATGAGCTGCAAAATGTCAGGTAAAAAGTCTCCTTACGTCAGCAAAAAGTCTCCTTGGTGCAATGCGATTTCAACACTCTCGATAATTTGTCAGAACCTCCCAAGTGAAGCCAACGGAAGAAACAGTTTGTTTAGACCTTGCAAATTGGTCGCAGCCCGGAGCAAGGAGGAAAAATTGAGATTGGCTGTACCTGAAAACTGCAGTTTGTGTGAATGCATACCCCAGGCACATAAGAATTGTATGTCCTCGAACCACAAATTCGACGATTCTCAACAGTGTACACATATGTAGTTTCAAGCGCCTTTTAATGTTGGCCGTGCAACGACGATCTCAATCTGCATGAATTGGTGACCATTTGCTTGAACTGCTTGTGAGGGAATGAAGGGAGCCAAGCTTCACAATACAAATGCGGTCTGCCATCCCAGGCATAAGTGAACGGACCACCAAACATCGACTACGAACCAACAGCTCTACTCCAGGCATGTCCATGCA